TTATCTATAGCTCTCAAGTATAAATAATGCAGAAATTTTATTTTTAGGGCATACTTCTTTTCTGAATTGTTTTCCGATCGTTAACTATTATGAACTTTGAGAAATTTTAAGGTATTCTGTATGAAATTTTGAGTATGATGACTTTAATTTCATTAAAAAACAAGGAATACTACATAATATGTCCTTTTACAGAGGTGTTTGCGGTTGTTTGACCTATTTGTATCAATTGTTACAAAATTGTGGTCGAGATGATCAGTGTGAATAGAGAATAGCCTCTAAATTGAGGGAATTTCTAGTTGTACGGTGCTATTATGTTTGATAACAAATACCCTCTCGGAGGGAAGTGTGATCGGATGATATGTGTTTATAGAGAATTTCTTCTCAAAGGGATGTTCTAGACACAATGGTTAGAAGTATGCTAGCACACATATGTGTTTAATTATATGTGATAGAATGTGATTTATTACTTGATGTCATGAGGTATGTGTATCGCATATGACCTCTATAAGGGGTGAGTGTTGTGGTTACTAACTAAGCCCTAGGCCTACAGTTCTATTTTATGTTTTTAGTTGCAGGTCCTTCAGGATCGAAGGGAAAGGAGCTGGTTTGATTGGGACATCTGGACATTCTCTGGGACATTACATCTTTTTATGTTTATCTTATGTGTTCTATTTTAAAACAAAAACTTAGCTTCTTCATTTGATGATGATTTTGTAATACTATGTTTTATATTGTTGTAGATGGAACCCCTGAATCTGGAAATATCATACTGTGATTTAGAAAAATTTTAAGGTAAATTTTTGGGATGTAACAGGTTTGTATCAGGGAAAATGTTTAAAACAATTAAACATACTCATTTTGTGTTTAGACTCAAACCACAACTCGTTTATCTTACAAAATAAATTTAAACAAATTTAATTAAATTAAATTGTTTTTGGACAAGTTTTGAAAGAAATTCATAATGCCTTGAAGAAGAGAATGCAAATTGACTAGTCATCCGAGATCCACGGTTAGTCGGTTATGATTATGAAAACAATATAATGACTCATGTGATGAAACTGATTTACGTGTTTTATGTGATGATTATATGCAATCCATATGTGCTTATATGACATGATCTGATTAGTCCCACTTGTGCAACTTGTAGTTTTCCGACATGATTATTCATGTTAGGGTATAAACTAAGGATCCTTTCAGGGATTGTATGCTACAATTGACTGTTAGATTAACTGCTTGACTGTTGATTATTTTATGCAACATGGACCCTATATTGATATTAACAAATTGTTAAGCGAATATGTTATGAGTGCATTCCCTTAGAATTAAATCGTCTTAGGTTTCTTGGTTTAGCCCTATTACGCAGCTCTTGCTTGAGTCCAAGCATTTTAGTGTGGGATCTCTCAGTCGAAGGACTGTTTAATTCTAGTTGCATGTAGTTAGTATTCGTAAAATAGTTAGTTTGCATTAATAAAAGTTTCTTCTCCTGATAGGATAGCAGAATGAAGTGGGATTCCTGGTGATCTAGGAAAAGTATTGGAATATGCTAGCGTAGTCACACACGTGGAAAATAGCCTAGAAGGTGAGTCTAAGAAGATTAGTGGTGTGTTCTCATGTGAGAACATGCATACATATGGTTAGAACGTTTGGTAGAATGTATCAACTTGGAAACTTCAAGACAATTCTTGGGACGAGTACATATAGGTAGATAGGTGCGGAAGGTAGTATGAGCCTGTACTATCGGAAGCGCAGGATCCGTAAGCAGTTGGTAGAGGGTAGATAGTGTGGTATGACACTATGGTTCGTTTGCATCATGTTCCGTCTCTATCGGTCTTATGTTTATGGCTAGGCAGGATGAGTATGATTCTGGTGGAGGTTAGGACCTGAGTGACCAAAATGATTGAGTCTGATTGGTGTAGACGTGCACAAGTTGGATGGTTCTAGGGCCTCAAGGTAGTACCAGTTCGAGTCTCGGGAATCAAGAAGGAAGCGATTGTGATGATCAATAAGAGGATTACAACATTTATCAATACGGTTAGCCGATGGTTCGTGTTGTCATTTGCTACAAAATGGTTATAAAATATGTATAAAGTGTGTGGTTTGATACTTATATAATCATATACGACAAGGAACTTGTTAATACAAGAAGGTTTTAAAGTAAAAGTATAAATAAAGTCCAATGTGCATATTATCTAGAAGTGATATAAGTAGAGATATTGATATGTGTTGTAGGTGTTCAGAGAATGAGTTCATCTTAGCCACTCTAGTAGTTCGATTATGTGTTTGTTGCTTCATGTGAGTTCTCACGAACGTTCTTATTATGTGGACTATATGTTTATGTTATGTACGACCGTGATTAGCCTCTCGAAGGGAAGTGTGGTCGGGATGATAAGTATGACTAGAGAATAGCCTCTTAAGTGAGGGAAGTTCTAGTTGCGCTGTGGTATTATGTATGATCATGAAAAACCTCTATGAGGGAAGTTTGATCAGATGATCTGTGTTTCTAGACAATAGCCTTTCGGTGGGAAGTTGTAGACTCAATGGTTAGGAGTATGCTAGCATACATATGTGTTTAGTTATATACGATAGAATGTAAGTAATATGTGACTTATTACTTATGTTATAAGCTATTATGTGTGTCATATATGATCTGTGTAATGGTGAGTGTTGTGATTACTCACTAACCTCTAGCTTACAGTTGCTATTTTATGTTTTTAGTTGCAGGTTCTTCAGGTACGAAGGATACAGAGCTGGTTTGATTGGGACATCTGGATATTCTCGGGGGCATGTCAGTTTCTTATTAATACTCTCTAACGGTGTCCACCATATCAGCAGTGTGAGCCTCCTTTCTCTTTTACCCTCATCATTTATCAAAGTTTTCACCTAAAAATAGTTTAATTGCACGTAAACAAACAACATAATTAATATCCTACAGAATAGCTACCAAATTAATGTTTTTGACAAAACTAAAATTCCAAAATCATCAGGTTATGTGTTATAATCCGTATTAGTATAGTAGGAGTTATGTGTTATAACCCCTACTATTATAGTGGGGGTTATACATTATAACCCCTACTATTATACTAGGAGTTATATGTTATAACCCTACTAGTATAATAGGGTTTATAACAAAGAACCCTAATTACACTAGTAGGGTTATAACATAGAACCCCTATCACACAAGTATAAGTTATAAAACAGAACCCCTATTAGAATAGTAAGGGTTGTAACACATAAACCCTACTACAACTACAATAATAGGGTTATAACACAAAAACCCAACTACAATAATAGGGTTATAACTTAAGGTTATGTGTTATTACCCTTACTAAAGTAGTATGAGTTATGTGTTATTATCCCTACTAGTGTAGTAGAGGTTATAACAATTCCATTAATATGGGTTATAATACTGCTACAAGAGTAGTAGGGGTTATAATCCATAATACCCTATTACGCTAGTAGGGGTCCATACTAATGTAATAGGGGTTCTATGTTATAACCCCTAGTACACTAATATGGGTTATATTCATTAGAATACCAGTTTTGTCAAAACCATAAATTCAGTAGCTATTTTGCATATTCATTAGAATACTTGTTTTGTCAAAACAGTTATTCAGTAGCTATTTTGCAGGGATACTCGATTTTTTTTTTTTTTTTTTTTTTTTTTTTTTTTTTTTTTTAAATTTGTCTTATAAGATGCCTCTTTTTTTTTAAGTTGTTGTTCTACCTATTTTAAAACTGTCAATTTAGTTTTCAGTTTGACCTAGAAAAGTTTTTATGAAATAATTGTTGTATACGGTCTGGTCTGTTTTTAGACGCTTCTCTTTTTTTGATATATGTATGTATGTATGTACTCGGTCCAACCAAATATAATTATTTGAATTTACATGGAGATATCGGTTGACTGCGATTTGTACTTTGCATTAGACCATCCATACTAACTCTATGGTCTTGTGAAGAACCAAGCAAACCGACCTAAAATTGATACTAGTGTAGTCACCAATTTGGTCTAGTTAGATAACGTTATAGTACTATCATCATTTTCTTTTTCATATAATGAAATTAGAATAAAAACTTCCTGCATTAACAATTTATCAACACGATTGATAAATGATAAAATAATCGGAACAATCCTTGGGCCAATTAAACAAATTATTTCCGGCCAGATAGATACGCATATTTACCATTGATGTAAAATATAATCAGGAGGCCTTTTAGGCATTCTCTTGAAATTCGTTTCATCAAATAATTCCTTCGCACCAATAAAATGAAATAACCAAAAGTGAAACTAGTGAAGGGGTTCACTAATCACATGTTTACGGTTATCAACTCCATGAAATCAGTGTTTGTTTCTTCTCATGGAACTGTCAAGCTTGCAGTGGTGGAGCCAGAACCAAATGTCATGTGTAGCAAACGTAAATTTTCAGGGTAACAGTTAAAACGGACAGCAAAATTTCATAGTAGGGGTGACACGGAAAATTTAAATAGTGGCACGATAAAAGAAAAAAAAATTCTAAAACTTTTGCACAACATACAGAAATATCAGGCGTTGCCACTACGGGTACCATAACAAAACTGCCCTTGGGTAGCACATCGAAAAAAATACACTAAACCAAAAAAAAATCTCAAAAAATTTAAAATTTAAAAGGTACCAAGAGCTATTCGGAGCACCTACATAGGTGTGTCCCTTCAACCTTGTCTTCTACGGTTGGAATCTAGCTTGATTTCGAAAACAACAAAACATATATGTACGATACCAATATTGTATGCATATGCAAAATATATGGCAATATAGTCAAGTAAACTGCACTGTATATTAAAAGGAAAGTCAAACGTGACCAAACCCTAATCTATGTCCGTATTGATATTTAGATTTCTATATCCTAGACGAGCTAATGTGCATATATAGAGATACCATAAGAGACAAATACCTCCCTTTTTCTCTTCTTTGGCGCAACAAAGAAAAGCGATGATCGGTACTACTACTTACAGCTGTTTATTAATTACATCAAAATAGCGTAGCGCATGCTGTCGTTGACTATAAGATGATTAACGTCAGAAATCTGTGCAAGTTCTCCAGAAACCCAGACTCCATCGGCAGCACCACTTATATGGGAGTGACATGATATGCAGGAAACAAGTGAGAGAGGAGCTCTTACGATGCTATATATAAGTGAAAGACCGTTAGGAACTCCTTGCCTTGTATGTCTAGCTAGATTTGGAAACTCAGCTCCATTTCCTTCCCCAAACATGCTTTCATCGGCCACTTTAGGACTCTTCCTCTTGTTTTGGATGTTTTGCCTTATCGCCACCAATATACGCCTCATTGGACCAAGGACTAGTGGTTTTCTCGAAAACAAAGGTAAGTATACACCAATGATTTTAAGTTGTTTGGGAATGAAGGGTTGAAAAATGGCATATAAAGAAAGACCTTTTTATATAGCCTAGCTAGGAATAGGATAGTGGCATGTCATGATGGCCTTCTTAGTGCTAGTAATTGTCACATAAATGTTTATGGAAGTGCTCCTTGGAGACTCTCACTTCAAACTTTTTCAACTTTATTTCTATTTAAATTTAATTTTTTTTTGGGGGGGGGGGGGTAGTTAAAAACTAAAATTGACGCCTATAAGCGTGTTTAATCACAGATTTCATTTTCACAACACACAATTAGTTCATGAAAACACGATGTTTTCCATTATATAATATAATCAATTAAATCTGATATTTTCTATTAAATAATATAATCAGTTAAATAATATAGGATTATATGTTCTGGTCTTGCTTTTCCTAATTTAATAATAGTATTTGATTTAGTGACCAATAATTATGATAGAGAATCAGTTCTTATCATCACATGCGTAATGCGTTGCTGCACTTTCTCCGCCATCAGTTGATTCTTGCTTGCATTAATACAGTTATGCACTTCTGCCACTTCATGAGGAATAGAATTATTCCCTAACCTTTTTGTACCTTTGTTTGCACATATATGTCCCTTTATCCTGCCGTTGATACTGTCTCACGAAAGTGAACCAGTAGATTTTATCACATAGCATATGTGAAAACATAGTATATATATTAGTTTGTTTAACTTTTTGTAAATGAAACGATACCCACTTACAAAAGAAACCCAACATATAAACCAATTAAACTAGATGGATATCAATGTTTTAAAGAGGAAGCATCATGATCAGAACTTGGGTATTGTTGGAAATACAAAATAACATAACCACCTTCAACTTCATTCTTTCTTTTGGGTAAGCATGGATCGATATTTTCGAGGCTTAAACACACTCACTGGTACTATAATACGTTGTTGGTTTGTTCGAACAAGTGTACGGCTTATTCTTGATGCTTCTGGATGGTATTCATACAATGAACATGTTCTTTACTAATTAATACAAGTGGAAAAAGAGGATCTCTCATTGCACTCACGTGGGTGGCCGGTGCATGGTTACCTTATCTCTACATTAATCTACAACTCTTTAATGATGAAAGAGGGTTAACGAAAGACTAGATGGATAATGTCAACACATACAAAAGTCAGCAAGGGCCTGTAGAAATGGGAGCCAAACAATTGCCAACTACCATTTAATTATAATATGGGATTGACCAATTTTGGACATACTCAGACCATATGTTTTGTTTCCGGTATGTAATTGCATGCTCCACTAATGTTTTTAGTAGCCCCTCCAACTCCATTACTGGATACCATTATCATAACAGCCTTGTTTAAAGGTCCCTACTGCCGTTGTTTTTTGGGCAATATAATAAGAAGCAAAGTAGGTATATGGTTATAGAATTGTGAGATATGCGGATAACTTTATCAGCATTTTTTTTTGTTGTTAAAAAAGAATATATATATATATATATATATATATATATATATATATATATATATATATATATATATATATATATATATATAGAGGTAGAGGTAGAGGTTAATTTGAGACCACTTATATTTTGTGAGAGATAGAGACCAAATCTTAGCCTTTAATCAAATTTGATCTTGTGGCTCATAAAAAAAGGGATTAACACTAATTAATCTAACTGATTAGATAATCAGGGGTAGATTAGTTATATTTTGTGAGAGATAGAGACCAAATCTTAGCCTTTAATCAAATTTGATCTTGTGGCTCATAAAAAAAGGGATTAACACTAATTAATCTAACTGATTAGATAATCAGGGGTAGATTAGTCACTAGGTTAAATTTAAGATGATCAGATATTATATTAGCGTCATTTTCACGTCATCAAGAAATCATCTCATCTGTTTCGGTTCTTTTACCAATCTATTCGATGGATCAACATTCCTTCTTCTTCAGTTCACTTTGATCGATCTTCTATCTCCAATCTTATATTTTTTCAACCGATAATCGATTTGAGTTGGACATTGATCGAATGATGCTAAATCATAGCTTTTAAATTCGCGATTTTTGTGTTTTTCGAGTTCATGTTCTTCATTCTTCTCTATCTGCAATTGTTAATCTGAGTGATCTATAGATCAACATTCCTTATTCTTCAATTCACTTTTATCGATATTCTATCTCCAATCTTATATTCTTTCAACCGATAATCGATTTGAGTTGGACATTGATCAAATGATGCTAAATCATAGCTTTTAAATTTGCGATTTTTGTGTTTTTCGAGTTCATGTTCTTCGTTCTTCTACATCTGCAATTGATAATCTGAATGATTAATGTTTATGTTCATCTATCGACATTAGTAATTCATTAGAAGATTGTGATCGATTTTAACTCTGTAATCATCGATTTCGGTAGAGGTTCAAGTGTTAAACGATTTCTGTTAATCTTCAACTTCAACAGTTGTTTACGATCTTTCAAGCTGTGATTTTTACTCAACATCACGAATTCATCAATTGATCAAGGTTTGAGTTTTCATCACTTTCACTGTTACTTGCATATAACATATTCAATTTTTAACCTAGTTCATGAATTGAATCATCAAGCTATTATCGATTTCTCCAATTTATATATGTATGTTTTGTGATTTCAGCAATCAAACATCATCTGTTGTTGAATTTGTTTGACCTAGAAAACAATTTAACCAATAATATGTTATTTGGCAATACATCATCTATTTCATTGTTTGATTTTGAACTTTCATTCAATCATTATGTTTTTCAGCAATATGCAATATGTCATCTGTTTGCTTTTCATTAACATCATCTATTTGCTTTTCATTAAGATCATCTTGGTGATATTTTCATGTTACTACATATTATTCTTATAGAATATTGTACATACATTTATATATAAATAATGATACCAGTTATGGATGATTTGGATATGCATGACATCGAAAACAATCATCTCGATGAAAAAAGTCATCAGTTCGGTTCTAATGATTCAAAGATTCTTCATAACGAGGAAAATCAATCGGAAACCCAAGGTAATTTTGTTAAATTTTACATTATATCATGATTTGATAAATTGATCAAGGTTTGAGTTTTCATTGCTTTCATTGTTAGTTGCATATAACATATTCAATTTTTAACCTAGTAACAGTTATTGACGATTTAGATATGAATGGCATCGGAAATGATCATTACGATGAAGAAAATCATCAGTTCAGTTATGGTGATTCAGAAATTTAGCATAATGATGAAAATCAATCGGAAACCTAAGGTAATTCTGTTACTGATATCAGTTATTCTTATAGAATGATGTTGCTGATAAGTTCATGTTACTGCATATTATTCTTATATAATAATGCACATATAACATTGTGGTGTTTTATGATTACAGTCATATGAATGCAAATTATTATGATTATATGTTAACATGGTGGTGTATTCTTTTTTGTAGTTCAAAGTGACAATGTTGCAGCACAATATGACTCTCGCAAACAATTCATTGGAGCTGATGGTTCTTTCTTTTGGATTCCAGAGGTTGAAGCTAGTTGGATACCTCCTATGGGTTCATTTTTTTAAGATATCAAAGATGCTATTAAGTGGTATAAAGGATACGCATTAAGATCTGGTTTTGATATTAGAAAATCAACAGAGAGGAAAAAAATGGAATCACAACTTCAAAATATTTTGTATGCTATAGAGGGGGATTGCCAAACACTTCTACTCTAGACACGATTAGTGATGATCATAACAAGCAATTGAGAAATAGTAATTGTAAATGCACAAATTGCAAATCTTTTGTTGCATTCAAAGTTGTACCAGATTCGTCAGAACTTTACCTGTGGCGCTTTGAACAACAACACAACCACAAATTGATCAATAAAGATTGTATGCATCTTTCACGAGCTAAACATCACTTGGATGTTGTTGATCGAGCTTTTATACATAATCTTTCAAGTGCAAAGGTAGGGGCAACTACAACATATATGATAATGTGAGTTATAAAAGGAGGATGTGAATTTGTTAGTGGATTAGAGATAGATTGGAAAAAATTTACAAGGGATATTAATTGTCACATTGGGGGCACTGATGCAAATTTGTTGATTACAAAGCATCAGAATCGTAAAGAGAATGTTACAAGTTTTACATATGAATACAGATGTGACAAGAAGCAGTTAAATGCTCTCTTTTGGGCCGATGAAACTTCAAAACAAAACTTTTAGTTATTTGGGGACGTTGTTTCGTTTGACGCAACATATCGTACAAACAGGTATTTATTCTAGAATTATAAACATTTTTTAATTATATATTATAATAGTATTTCTTTGTGTTTTTTTAGGTATTGTATGGTGTTTGGACCTTTTACTGGCATTGATAATCACAAAAGGTGCATCACATTTGGAGCTGGTTTATTGTGTAGAGAAGATACAAATTCCTATATTTGGTTACTTCGGTTATTCTTGAAGTGTTTTGGAAAAGCACCAATCATGGTCGCGATTGATCAAGATCCAACAATGAAAAAAGCTATTGAGATAGTATTGCCACACAAAAAACATAGATTTTGTATGTGGCATATCATAAGTAAACTTCCATTGAAGGTAATAACTTTTTTCATTTTTTTTTGTATATTATGCTTTATTGTTTGTTACATATTCTAATTTGAATTTTCAATATAAATATAACATTATTGTCATATTCTTATCATAATATTAAATGACATATTTTTTATAATTAGAATAATATATTAAATGAAATGCCTTTTTATATTGTATTATATTCTAACTATATAATATATTAATTCTTTTTTGAAGGTAAGCTGGGAAACAATGAATGAATCATATTTTAAGGTGGAATTCAATAGTATAGTACGAGACTCCAAAATTGCTATGAAAGATTTTGAAATGAGATGGGATGCATTATTGGCAAAATATAAGTAACAAGACAATAAATTGA